TATCATCATTATTATTATTATTTCTTCCTAGCGGCGAGACTGTCAGGAACCCGTTCTTCGGCGCTGACGTAGCTTTCTTGAACAGCGGAGCAAAGACGTCCCGTGACGTGTCCGACAGTTTGAATGACGTTCCCGAATGGGGAGATCACACCAATCTTTTCGACCAGTATCTCTATGCCTTGGAGCAAGAAGATTTCTGTAACTTTGAGGTAAGAACTTTAAAACGTGACCTTCTGTCGAAGAGCTCGGGGGTGGGGGGGGATTACCCGTTGGAAATCGTGAGGGTTTCATCAGTCTAAGAGTTTGTAGATGCATGAGCGTATTTTTGTTCAACTGTTGGTTGATTATCAGTGTTTGACTTCTTATTCAACGAACAACAACAAAAAATCACCAGATTGTGGCTAAGAAGTCCCCACCCCCGCTGTCTGTCCCCATATGCTCTTCTATTCTTTTCTAAATATTTCTCCTTAAACTGGAAACTTTGTTCCATCTGTTACCATGCAAACGTGATTAATGAATTATCTTCATTCCCAGAAGACGCACCCTTTATAAAGTACATTTTCTTCTAAGTACGCTACTTTTGTTACATATTTCATTTAAATCTCAGTCATAAAAAGCACACAGAGGAGCAAAGTGGGTGCTCTCGCGTGGTATGCTCCTTCTTTCCTATCAAACACCTATCTTCCTTATCTCTCCTCCTTTTTTGTGTATGTTACTCTCTTGTAACACCTCTATTCTTCGGCACTTATATGACCTTATTATGTTGCAAGTGCCGTAAACCTCTTACTAAGAAAGAAACAGAAACAAGCAATTTGTTCATCTTTCAAGTATTTTTGTCATTTAAAATCTACCCAGATTAGTATTTCTATTATTTATTGGACATAATTTCCCAAGTTTGTCTCAGTTTACTTTTTAAAAACGTCTTTGAGTACTGGGACCACTTAGAGACTAAGGGCACGATGTCTTTTGCAGGACCAAGTTGTCAACAATATTCTCTGAGACATAAAGAAATCACCACATCGTCGTTAAGTCGTTAAGCTGTTCAGTTGTTCTAGGCTGAGAAAAATAGCTAATTTGTTTCTTTAAAACATTGCACCTATATTATGTGTCTTTTCTTGCTTTCTTCAACTTTCAAAATTTAGATTTCAACAAGATAGTTCTTTAGTACTCGCAATTGATACCACAGCTTAAGAATACATTTTTGGCTTATTATATGTACATCGGAACAGCTGACTGATATATTTAAAATTTACTTGTTTTCCTCTACAGGTCCAGTTTGAAGTAGCCCATAACTTGATCCACGCCCTGGTCGGAGGCAACACCCAGTTTGGCCTCTCTTCTCTCTCCTACAGCGCTTTCGACCCCATCTTCTTCCTGCACCACAGCAACGTGGACAGAATCTGGGCCATCTGGACAGCCCTGCAGCAGTACAGGTCAGTGCACTCTGTGATTTGTTGTCATGTGTCAAGTGTTATCCTTCTCTAATATATGAGTACTGGTGTCTGTGCTGTTGCCATTAGGCGCTTCGATGGTACAAGCATGTGACGTGAGTTCGATTCCCGTGTGGGGAGAATGTTTATCGAGTATCTCAATCTTTCTAAACTTCCCCTGATAATCCCCTGATAGTGTTAATCCACCAAGGTCTAATAGATTCTTTGAATGGATTTTATAAGAGTAAAGGTGATTATAATGTTTTGCAGTTTTTTAGACGTTCAAGTTCTCGCTTGTCTAGAAGCAAGAGGCTTTGTTTTATGTCAGAATGTCAAGTTCGAACCTTTTCAAGATAATTTACAATCTGTTTCATGTAGCCAGCCAAAGTAGGTCAGATCCTCTTCTACTATAAACTTCACATTGCTCTTAGGCGCGCTCAACGTGTTCAGGAACTTCGGGCATTTCGTGGTTATTAGAGAATACACAATAGTACAGACAAAATTGTTCATGATGGCAGTCCATTGTCAAGGAGAAAAATGATCGTCTAAGACAGGCAGACGTCATGGGCAGTGTTATCATAATATAAAACATGCATGGGGAATATGAAAAGTGATGGCTTGTACTGGTGACTGTCTTGGACAGGTGGCCGTTAGAGAAGGTTCAACTGTACTTCATTTCCCTACCCTGCGATTAGAACGCGAGAGGAGAAAAGAAACCAAAGTTACTCATGGATAAAGATTGTCTTCAACCACTACATCATAGAGGTCGCTCTTCTGCCCCATCCCCTGCTGATTCAATTTATAAAACTCTATTCATTTTCTATTCCTATTCTAGAGGAAAACCGTACAAGGCTCATTGCGCCCAGTCCTACGTGAACCAGCCACTGAAGCCGTTCGCTTTCTCCTCTCCTCTGAACAACAACGAGAAAACTTTCTCTCACTCCGTACCCACCAATGTCTACGACTATGCGGAAGAGCTGGGATACGATTATGACAACTTGCAGTTTGGAGGCATGGGAATTGCCGAGTTGGACCAGTACATCAAAAGCACCCAGAAAAGCAAGGACAGAGTTTTCTATGGTATTCTTTTGCACGGGATCAAGAAAGCCGGTAAGTAGACGTGCAAACTCCTCAAAGTTCTGATAATTTAAGGAATAACAATCTTATTTCTGTTTTGTGTAAGATGGTTTGACATATGCCGTAACATTGTCTCTAATCTTCTGCTGATTGGATATATCTGTATGTCCGATATGTCTTCAAAAAGTTAAATGACCAAAGCGTAAAGGGAACAATATGTGACTTGATTCTTTGATAATTATATACGGAAAGAACTTTAAAGGTTTCCGTTGCCATTTCCAGCTCTTGCCACTGTGTACGTGAAGAAGCCTGGCGTTGACACGGAGTACAATGCCGGACAGTTCGCCCTGCTGGGCGGCCCATCGGAGATGGAGTGGCGTTTTGACCGGAACTACAGGTAATTTTTGTTTTTGATCTGCGCACACGCTTAATGTTATTATGATTTGGCCTGCCTTACTTTGGCAGGCCTTACTTTGGCTTATCTAGTCAGCGGAAGCTATCTCTAAACCTTTTCATACGGAGCCAATTTTGTCATCCAATTTTTAAGCATTACAGTTTAAATAATGCTTCGTTTCAACCTTATTGCATAAAAACAACTACACAAAACTGAGAAAATATGAATGATCCATGCAATAAAATACAGTTCGATTATAGATATAATGGACTTGGTCGGGTTTTGTAGATTTTTGTTATGACTGTGAGCTACTGAGCGATGACTTTCGGCAGCCCCTGCAAGCTGTATATTATTATGAATATAGCACACCCGATGACTGACACGTGATAATGATTTGAGCCCATAGCTGTTCTGACGTACCCAAAATTGAGGAAACCCCCCCCACAATACCACCACCCCCCGAAAGAAAATCAAAACCCAGAAACGTCGGTGGTCATATGGTAGCGAAAATGCCTTCAGTGAGTGACGCATGTGTGTTGGTTAGAAATATCTCCAGTCACGAGATGCACAATTTTAACATTTCTGAAATTATCAGGGTTCTATTAGCCTGCTCATTTTCACTAGAGACAGAGAGAGAGAGAGAGAGAGAGAGAGAGAGAGAGAGAGAGAGAGAGAGAGAGGGGAGACAAAACCAAGCAAATTATTAAGAAGCAAACAATCAAACCAAACTTTCTGAATTTTACAGATTCGAGATTACCAAGGCCCTTGAAGAGCTTGGGATCAACTTTTTGTCTCCATTCGACGTCCGCCTTGAGATGAATGAGTTTGATGGTACCCCTATTGACGTGAGTCAGTTCCCCAAGAGTCAGCTAATCTTCAAGAGAAGGGATAGTGAGTATTTTTATGTTTGCTTTTATTCCGCTTTGCTAATGATTATTGGTTGTTTTTTTTCAATTCGAGAACAAGTTAGGTCATTAGCCCTTTAGGTGCGCTATAGATGCCAAGAGACACACATACAGATGAAAGAGAAAAAGTGAGCAAGAGAGGAGAGAGACAGAGAGAGAGAGAGAGAGAGAGAGAGAGAGAGAGAGAGAGAGAGAGCGAGAGAGAGAGAGAAAGAGAGAGAGAGGGAGAAAAGGCGAGAAAACGAGAAAGAGAGAGGGAGAAAAGGCGAGAAAACGAGAAAGAGAGAGGGAGAGAGATAGATACACTCATTCATCTGCAGGCATACAGATAGACATACAAATAGACAGACAGACAGACAGACAGCCTGAGAGAAAACGAGTAAAATCAAGAGGCAAACATTAATTTGTTCTATGTACGATCCAGTTCTGCCCGAAGCGCAAATTGATGAAGTCACAGTCCGTAAGAACGTGGACTCTCTGAACGCCGAAGAGGTCTTGGCTCTTCGCCGTGCTCTGGCCAACCTGAAGGAAGACTCATCTATCGGTGGTTATCAGACCCTGGGCAGGTACCACGGAACGCCCCTATGGTGCCCCGCCCCTGACGCTGAGAAGAAGGTTGCTTGTTGTCTGC